AATTAAAGGCATGAAATTACGAATGTAATTTAATGACTTCTGTTAAATAATTTTTCTCAAAGATTATCTATGCTTACAGTAATTTTCCAATATGTAAAGCATTCCGATAAAAATTGCTTATTATCAGTAAATATTATTTTTTTTATGCTCCCATACTTTTGGCATAAACTGCTCTTTTATGTTATTTATACTATACACACTCTAGAGCTTACAAATTTAATATATTACATATTTTCATTAAAATATATTAACATATAATCCGCATTACCGCAATTTCTTTATGAATTTTACAATCCTGGTGTATAATACTGGCGAATGAAGAAAGTAAAACGATGAATCAAATTGTTTCATGAATAGATCAATTTTTAATCAAATAAATGTCATACACAAATAATATAATTATGAATATATATCCATTTAAAAAACTAATATAATTTAAATTATCTTTATACCTCTCCATTATTCAACAAAATTGTTAGATTTGATATTTTCATTGAATCGTTAAAGAGTTATTAAACCAGTCATAAATCTATGTAGATAATAATAAAATCAGGAACGATCAGTCATAGCTTAGCTTTTAATAAAAGCGTTTTAGGCGTGAAACTATAAGCTAGGCTTTTCCAGGCTTAGGACTATCGTTTTCTTGCTGCTTCAAACATTTTGCTTATTCAATATCTGTGCAACATTTTTCTTCATTCTTTTCAAATGAATTGTTTTTTCTATTCATTTTATTAATAAATATTGGTAGGATAACGTTTATTAATATTAATTCTAATGTTATTAATATAAGTCTATAAATACAATGAAGTTATATGAAAATTAATTTTTTTCTAATTATTATTATTATTTTTTTATCACTACAATCATTCAAAATCTATTGTTAGAGCAAATTATTTTCAACACAGTTTTTATGATTCAATCTTACAAACAATGTGTCTTAATAAATTTATTATAAATTTTTAAGATTTTCATTCCTATGTTAATTAATATCAAAAATATATTATACCAGTAGAAAGGAAATATGGAATATTATATTGTTTTATTTACTTATACAGCTCAGATGAAAATAATGAATAGTTAAGCTATAAATCAATATTTTAATGATTTTTTAATGATATATAACGATACAGAATTAAGACTATTAATTATAACAATTCTCTTTTTGGTATTCACAAAACATCATAGTTCCAATAAGGATAAATATATTACAATGTTTGAATAACTTTAATTCAAAGAATAAAGAGCTGTTAAAATCTACATTTATTTAATTAGTTATGTTTTCAAATAAAAAAAATTTATAATTATATCCATACGATGTCTTACACAAACAATATTAAAAAAGTTTATAAATTATTATAACAATATTCAAAACAAATTAAATGCCTGATCTGATAACATTTTGGATAATACAATAATATTTCAGAGAAATTCGAACGTATATTTTAAAGAGATTAATCGTATACACAAATTATATTAAAATTATAAGATAGTGTAAATCATCATAAATAGTAAATAATCCAAATTTAGCTCATACTAACGAACTTAGTGACAATATTCTAATGAAAAATATTTGCTTATTATTAAATAAATTACATTAGTACCTTTTAACGCTTCCATAAAATTCACGAAAACTGAATTAATTTCAAATTCAAAAACTTTGTTATAAATAGTTGTACTTAAATGAAACGGTATTATGAATTGAGTTTAAATTTTTAAATGCACTAACAGAAAATGATTCAATTTAATGACATTTAATAAATTGTATATCAATAAAGAATACATGCAATATAGCATGGAAATAATCAATTGAACGGAAATTATTAATGCATAATATTCATATACAGTTACACATATTTGGATTATTAAGAGAAATAATTTGCGGTTGAGATATATTATTAATTTATATAATTACTGAAAAATTCATTGACACGCTGATAAAAAATGGGCAAAGTTCCTAAAAGATGAAATATAAAAAATACAAGCATGAAGTTTCCATAGGTAAATGTCAAATACAATTTCAACGAGACTTAATTATTAAAATAAACAGCCTTGATAACAGCAAATAAAAATAATATAATATATATGTCTAACTTGTAAGTATTTGTACTTGTTATGAATATACATATATATATATATATATATATCCATATATATATATTGTTTAATTAACAAAAATGTCAAAGAATTAAATTAATTAAAACAAATTGTTAATATATTATAAATGTTGAAATAATAATATCGTTTAAGTTATTTTTGGAGTGGTTAAATTTCATAATTTCAAATATAAAAAGAAAGTAGTTTGTAAAAATATAAAAATACAATCCGGTGTACGAGATAAACCATTTCAACGGCAATTAGAAAAAAAAACGAAATTTGAAGCTGTAATAATGTATAGTTCTAATATATTTTTAATTCGCAAATAATGTAGAGAAAAAGTTTATTGAAGATTCTAAAATTATAAAAAGTAATTATTACATATAACAATAACTGATGTATGGCATAATTACTTAATGAGTTTATAAATGCCGACTTTTATTTATAAGAAAAATGATTATGAAATGAATAAAAATTTTTGAAAGTACCTATCGAAAAAATATATTTTATAATATATTCGAACTAAACTCTATTTATAAAAGATATTTTTCACAAATAGGGTATTTAAGAATAAAAGAAATAATAATATTCCATCATAGAGTAAATAATACATAAATTTAAGAACTAGATTAACCGAATAGGAAAATTTTCAATAAAATTAAAATAATATATTTCATAAAAAAGTTAGTCACCGTCATAAATCAGTTGCAAGTTCTTAACTTTTTTCATTAATCAGAATAAATAATTAAGGAATTGAAAGATTTCTGTATTGAAAAATGTTTATATAAAGGAATAAATTTTATGAATAAGTGTTAAGATAACAATTATGTTTGAAAAAATCACAACACCTATTTAAGTGCTGATCTACATTATCAGGAAGCAGTATGACATAAAAATCTTATTTAGAATCATTAAGATTAATAAATTAAATATTTATTATATGTAGATATAGATATATAGATGTAGCTCTGTATTATATTGAAATGCAATTAAGTAATAAATGTTAAATGATTTATAGTAAACATTCGAAAATTAGTTAAATGTATTAATTATTGAATATTTATGATATTTTATTAATGAAATATTAATTTTTTTTCAATTTTTTGTATTTATTTCATTTATATATGTCAGTTTACATGGTTATATTGTAAAATAATGAATGGAAGCTTGGAGTTTTTAGTATTCATTTATTTAATAAGTATTTTAATATATTTTTTAATGAATTGAATTGTAAAATATAATTTAGATTACAGTTGATTTTATGTTCCTTATATTTACGGACAAATCCAAATCAATTCATAGTAAATACATTTTTTAATTCTACATTTTTCAAATAGTAAGTGATAAAAATAAAGTTGCTCGCTAAATGAAGAATTTATTGCAAATAATTGAATAAAATATCCAATATTAAGTAAGAGAATAATTAAATAAAGAAAACTTTTTTTGAATTATAACATTGGAAGAAAATTGAAATTCGAGCATCATTCTTTTCACAAAAGCATTCCCTTATAAAAAAGTATTGCCAAACACCAAATTTTCTTTTGAAAATTTGAACGTTTGTAAATAAAGATAATAAATATATTAAATATTTAAATATGAAAATTGCATTTACCATGATAGATGGAAGAGGCTATTTATAAATATTTAGTGGGAATAAAAAAAGTAATTAGAGCCTAAATAGTTGATTTCTTAAATAAAATATTAAAACACAAGGATTTGTATATTTTAAAATATCATTTATCAGAGAGATTTTAATCACAGTATTTCTTAGTGCAACATTTATAAAATAGCAAAATTCTTTAAACAAATATTATTATAAAAAATAAAAATAGAAATTGTATAAATGTAATTATAAATCTATTTAATAAATATATTAATATTTAATATTAAAATTAATGCTATTCAATAATTCAATATATAATTTTATTGATAAATCAACACAAATCTTTTAAACGTAATGAAACTAATGAAAAAATATGTATTTATATATAAGAGAATATTTTATAATAAAATTCATTATTAATAAAATGAATTTTGACAAAATTTTATGACATTTTTTGCTCCATTAAACTTTTTAATTTTATTTATATAAATTTAAAAAAGATTATATCTATAAGCTTAATCCAGAATTAATTTATTATCAACAAACCAATTGAAATTTTTATTGATGATATAATAAATATCAATATTAAAAGGCTATTTTACTAGGTCAGTGGTACAAAACTTCTTTCTTCGTTTATAATCATATTTAAGTTATCCCTATTGTAATAGTGATAAACTCTTTTTATTATTAATTCTAATTTCACTTATCATCCAGCCGATTAAAAATCCAATAAAATCTGTATGAACATACACATACTGTCTTTAATTTAAAAACCTTTTTAATCCAATAATGTCTTTCTTTTCTTAATTAGAAATACCTATTAATTTTATCTGAAAAAATTAAAATAGAAGACGATAATATTTTCATAACCCAGCTAATATAATTATATAGGATTTTTATATGAAAGTTTAATTCAATTTTTGTTAAAAAAACTTATATGCATATATGCATGTACGTATAGTTGCCATTATAGGGCTGTGTATATATGTGTATATCTTGCTTGTTGTGCAGAATATCATTAAAATTATTAATGATTTATTTAATGAATTAATATGTTACTATTCGCATAATTGTTTCCATTGAAATATTTGTTATAAATAATAAGTAGATATTTGAACGCCTTTTTAATTTCTACAATCGTACATAAATGTTTCTGTATGAGCGTTATAATATGATACGAGCCATTACTATCATATTTATTAAGCAATCATATAAATATAAATTAAAATAGAATTGAAAAGATTGCAATTGTATTATGCAAGCATGAGACACGTGAGAAAGTTTTATTTATTTGTTTTTGCAGAGGGATGGCGAGAGTCGATGCTCGGGACTTCGCGTCGGTTACTGTCCAGTATAGGGAGTTTCTCAAGGGACAACTCGCCCTGCCCTTTCACAGTAAGTAAACGACACAGGGAACACGAGAGAGATGGAGCCAATAACTATTCGTTCCTGTGCAGATCCACATTCGCTTTTGGTTGAATTCTCTTCATGCCGAGTTCAATTATGAGATTACCAGTTCACTTTATTTATCTTAGCTTACGGCCAATCATTTCCTTTTTCCTAATTGATTTATACGTTTCGTACATGAATTAACCTTCAATTAATATTTTTTCTCTTTTTTAAATTATTTAAAATACTCCTTTTCAATAATGAAACATAAGTATTCATAAAACTATCGATAACATTATTAGTACAAATAAATAAATGTATACTTATAGCAACAATAAAACTTTATAAGTTATGTTATAATTTTACTTTTTTTTATCAGTTTGGACAAGTACATTATTTTACTATTTATCAAAGCAATTCTGACTGTTGTTTTGTGTTAATATATTTTATAAATAACTAACAATTTTATCTTTTTACCTATTTCTATGTATTAATTATTTACATATACATATTTGACGCGATAACATATTTATTAAGTATTATATGTAGGTTCCTTCTTAATTAAGATATATTTAATATTTTAATTTTCACGAATTATAACTTTTTTTAATTTTTATAACTACACTAATATTCAATGATATTCAAGTAAAATTCAATGATATATTTATTGAACAAAGCATAAAATTTATGTACAATACATCACTCTATGTTTTTTTATTTATTTTATATTTAAGAAAATGAAAACTTACACTTTAAACAAACAATTTTTTTATAATATAATATATTTAAAGGTAAAGTCTTATCACGTTAGAAAATATTTAATTTTTCTTACAATAACAAATTTAAAAAATAATTATTATTTCAAATCTATTATTATTTATTATTATCAGTATAAATCATGTTTATGTTAAATGTATTTATTTCACATCTAAATGCTTATTCTTATAAAAACATTTAAGATATCTGAATGATTTAAGTAAAACGATCGTATATATTCTTATACTTGCTTTATCTATATTTCAAATATTTTTGTGAATTGTATCTTTAAATATTATTACATTTTTAATATAAATAATATACTAATATTTTTAATTGTATTCGGTAATATCAAATATAAACATTCAATGTTAGAGAATAATAATAATTACAGTCAAATTATTAAAAATATTGATCATGTTTTAGAATAAAAATAATTTTTTATTAAAAATTTTAATTTAATAATGTTGTTATTTCAATTGTGAAAATACAGTAATCCGATGAAAATGTAAAATCCTTATAAAAGATTATATTTGTATGAATAATCATATTGTTATTAAATGGAAATATTAGAAATATTATGCTTTTATAATTATTAATTGTAATAAAATAAATGAATAATTATTACTGAAATTAATGCACATTAATATAACCATTTTTTAATGATATATAATATATATAATATGTTCGTGCGAATTGTAGTTGGTACTTTAGTTAATAAGTACAATTTGGAAAGTAAAATAGAGAAGTATTGCAAAGTAAAACATACAGAAAAGGTAGTTTGATATCAAAGTAAGTGACGAATGTCACTAACTAAACTCTCATCATTGCTGCAAGGGGATAAAGAGGCGATTCCTATCCTAGTCCATTTCATGATTAAGAGAGAACTTGACCGAAAGCATACACTACTTTGAGTCTACAACCTTCATCAATTCAAATTTTACTTTAGTTTAGAAGTCTTTATAAAATGAAATTGATTTTTCATTTATATTTAATATTATCAATCGTCTTTTCCTTTTAAAATTGATACAAACAAATTTTCAATAAATTACTAAATTTAAAAATCTTCTTGTAGTAATTATTCTTAGGCTATATAAAATAATTACAAATAGAAACTATACAAATTGAACAATTATAGTAGTATTACTTTTATTATAATTCCATTAATTATAAATTTTATCCATATGTCAATTTATTTATTAAAATTTATAATTAAAATTCATATAATAATACTATAAAAGAAAATTTTCGTTTACATCGTATAAAGAATTTTTTATTTATGTATGAAAAAATTTTATTAGATTTTTAACAAAGTAATAGATTATCATAAAATGATTTATAAAATAGAATATTTAAAATGAAAATTTTACTAAAGCAAAGGCCCTACCATCGCTTAAACTACATTATATCTATCGCTGAATGTAAAATTAGTTAAAAAGTTTAGTCCAAAGTATAATTTATTATATTATAATAAAATTGTGGATAGTAGTTAGTAAATATAAACTATTCGAGTTATTTTGATGCAAATTTAATGAAATATATCATAATAAATAATAAGTAATATATATTATTTGGCTTTAAACAATCATGACAGAAACATTTAAATTAAAAGATGGAGATTTAAGTTATTTTTCAATAATAAAAATGAGATAAAATCTAACAAAGTTTTTAATATTTTCGAATATATTTTTATATCTAAATGAATATAAATTTTAATAATATGCTTGACAAATTTTGCTTTAAAATCATTTAATTTAAAAACATTTAAAAAATACTATTCTGCAGAAAAACTGAATTATATTAAATAAAAAATGTATAATATATAATTAAAACTTAATTCTATATTATATATAAAATTTTATCATTAATTATATTTTCTTCCTTTTAAATTTAAATTATTTAAAATAATTGAATACTCATAACATTAGAAAACATTACAATAAAAGTTTGAACATTAGTAAAATAGTGTTATCGTTACTGTACATATTTATTATTAACATAGAAGTATAAACTTTAACAATAAAGTGCTCAATCTTTATTTCGAGTACTTATATATATATATATATATATATGAAAAATGTGTAAGGGTGCACATAAAAACGAAAATGACTCGTTATTACAATAGAAGAGCAGATGGCATGTAACGCATGCCAAACGTTTGTTCTTGTTCTCGGTGGCTGATTGAATTTTGATTGATTTATAATTAAATTAGCCGTTATCAGAGGTACATGAAATTGCCAAGCTTTTATCTGTGCTTAGAGTATCGAAATACTGCAAAAAAGATATTTATGTGTATGAACTTTCAGAGCCAAGTATGTAATAGAGAGATCATATTAAACGGTTATGTGCTGTTCCTTTAGCACTTTCATCGATTGGAAATCCACCACTGTGATAACTGAGGACTTAACAATTGAAATATTTGGCGCTTATACTTAACACATGGGTATGGGAACAGATTTTTAGTGTGATCAAAATATGTTAAAATTAAAGTTAATTATATACGTGATTCAAATCAAGTATTACAGTACATTGATATTTTCTGTTATATTTTATCAGTACACTGATAAAATGTTACATGTAGTTCTGATACCTGTAAATTTTTTTTCATTAAATTATAAAACTTACATACAATATTATATGAAAATTAGAATTCCAATTGACTTAGAGTTCAACAATTGAATTCAATGCAAATTTGCCAACTTATGTTTATTAATGTTAAATATATTTTATGGTACAAAAATTTTGCAGTAATTATTTCATATATTAAGTATTACATTATATTTTTAATGTATGAAGCTTGTTTAATAAATAATTGAATGCTCATGCAAATGTTACTATTTTTTAACGTAAATATATTTAAGCACATATAGAGTAAATATGTAAAATAAGATTTTCTTCACAGAAATTTTCTTAAGAAGTTTGAATATTAAGTCGTAATATTCACTTTTGTAATGTTTCAATTGTTTTTAATTCGTAGCAAATAAATAGATTATAAAAAATATTGATTATTTTGATTTTAGTAAATTCTTAATAATTTAATTCGCATTGTAACTTATATTCATACATGAATACGTATTTACGCAGACTTTATTTGATTTATCCATTTGAAAACTCACCAAAAATTCATCCATGAAAACGTAAATCTAATTCAGCTGTTAAAGTTAAACTTAATATTGGTAAAAGTAATTAGGAATACAGATGAAAGGCAAGGTCAATTAAATGTAAACATTAAGGCATAGGAAACATGGAGACGAAATGAGTAAGAGACGAAAGAAAAAGGTATATAAGAAGATTCGATTTGTGGAAGCGAAGTATGAAAAAGAAAACTTGATAGAGTAGGAGAAAGTTTGCCAGAGAAAGGAAAAAAGGTTGGCAAGTAGTAGTGACTTGTCGTATTTGGCCGGTGGAAATATTTCTGGTAGTGACAGGATTGCCGCAAGGCTTCTACCGCCGTTGGGCAGACTACAAAGATAGGCCGGGGTGTTACTAATTGGTGGGGTGCTGAGGGGGCAGCATAAGGGGAGAGAGTAAGGGGCAAAACCTTGTTATCTCTTAATTGCTACGACCCTACGCGCTGTTTTGCATTGATGAGAACTGCGCACGCTTGTAACATCAACGAACTTCGCGTCGCGGTTGAGAATAAAGGGGGAAACGAGCTCACGGACCTACAGATATGCGTAGTCCAACCACATATCTGGCTTTGCAAATCTTGTACTTCTTATCTGCTTTCAGTTGTTACTTGACTTTATTATCATCATCTATCTTCTGTAAAACAATCTTTTTTTATTTCATCGAACCGTAGATAGCTTTTTCGTTTTAATAATATTATTTTTAATTAATAATTATATTTTGCATTATACTTTTGTATATAGAACAATTTTTTCCAATGTATTGTTGAAAATTTCAATTTAAATGACGTGTGCAAATACTGATAATAATAATATTCCGTAAAAGAATATATAATTATATATCTTATTTGAAATTTGCAGTAAGTATATATTTTTTCATTAAAAAATTATTACTTAAAAATAATTATCATTTAAAAGATTAACTATTATAGTAATAGCCATTTATGTAAAGAATAATCTACACAAAAATCTGAAGCTTTTATAAATTGTTATTTCAAGTGTCTTCATACTATAAATTTTCAAATACTTATAAGAATTATTTATTGACTAAATGAATAAATATATTAATAATCAATTATATATCAATTTAAACAATTTTATATTCGCGGAACTAATTTCCCTTACAAATATCTAAGTGATTGCATCTTATTTATAAAACAAATACGAATTAGTTAAAATCTCAATTCTATTTTATTCAGTTTATTATTATTACTTAAAAAGTAATATCTACAGATAAATATATATAAAACATATTGAATAAATTTTATATTTCGAAGAAGCTCCTAAGAATTTTAATCTCTAACGAAATATTTATGGTCGAGACAATATACCAAGTAGTGGTAATAAGATTGTAATTATAGAAATTAATATATGCAATTCCAATTTACTAAACAAATTTTTATACTTAATTTTCAATACGCCTTCTTTTATAATAATTTTCATTTATAAGTAATATAAGTTAAAAATTTTTAATTAAAAAAGATCGTAAAATAATAATAGTAAAAAGATTTTATAAATAATTCAAATCAATGAAATAAACAACAAAAGTGAAATGAATTTATAATGTTAAGTATTTAAGTAAGAGCTATAGAAACTCTTATATATTATCTACTTCTTAAATGCATATAGTTATTTTTTTTTTTTTACATAAAATCATTTGTAATAGTATCAAATGGTATTGAAATTATATAAAAATATGTCGCAATTTGGTTAAGGAAATGATATTAATATAGAAACAAAGTATACTTTTAAAACGTATAAGTAATAGGAAAGTTTTGATCCAATAGAACGATGATATTACGAGTTGAGAAATTTAATGATTGGATTGAGCTAATAAAGAGGATATTGTTCAGTTGTCACATAGAAATCTGTCGCAAGTACAAAATATTTAACCTGTACCTGACTATAAGTTTAACACGTGCTGACGAAGGGTCGCGAAGGCAATCATTTCAAACTCAGTGAGTTCGAATAGCCAACACGTCCGATTGATTATTATCATTAGCTAACGATGGGTCGACACAAATGAGTGTAATTCAGTATGCCTATCGAAGTATTTAAAAGAGAAATAGAGAAAAAATATATATCAATAATAAAATCAACATTTGAAATTGAAAAAAATTATGTTGCTGCTTATATGTATAATGAAAAAAACGTTTTTGTAAATATAAATTTTTACTATTTTTTAAATAATTGACCAATTCATGTTAGTTTGTGATGCAATATATATGTAAATGAAATTATCAGTATAATTATATATATATATATATATATTTTTTTTTTGTTTGTTTTATGTTTTACTATTTTTTACTATAATGTTATTTGCATTAAATTAAAAAAAATAATTTTTTCATCTTTCCTAATGATTAAAACACGAAAAATCTAAATTCATTATAAATCATATATCATTAAGCGGTATTGATTATTTTACTGTTATTTGAGAAGCGTTTCAAGTTAATTGTTTTGATTTAATCCATTTTCAAAAATACAACGGTATATATAAATTACCAAAACGTATTGAAGAAGAATATTATTTAAATACAGTTTTAAATTTTCGAAAAGAACAAAATCTACGTGTATTTTCATATTCGCATTGCAAAACACATTGCTTTACATAATTAAAATAATTATATATTGATTTTTAACACTGATGTATATAGTATTATAAGTATATTTGACCTAAAACATTTAATATTGATAATGTCAATAATAATGCTATTTATACTTCATGATTATTTATGTAGATTTAATAAGAAAATTATTATTTTTACGTACTATATACTGCAAAAATATTACGTTGTCGGACATTATAAAATGTTTTATTTTATAAATTTAATATATTTTACACCGAAGCATTTTTATAGAGTTTTTAAAACTACATTTACATTCATGTTAAATAAATTATAGAAAAGTGTTGAGTAAATTGTTATAATAAACGTACACACATAGTTATGTGTATAGCTAAGTGTGTATATCTGGTTATGTTTGTGTTTATTGCATTCTGTTTTCTTGTGTATATGCATGTATCTGAACATGCGAAGATGAACAACAGTAAATACAATAATAATATATTTAAATAAATAATCATTCTTAATTAATATTGTATTGATGTTGTCTTTATTTATAAAAGTAAAAATTCTACAAATAAATATGTAATAAAAATAAAATACTTTACTTTTATAAAATATTTATCATTTTTTTCTTCGTTGTATTATCAATTATTTATAGATTTTTCTTTTTGTTTAAATTTTATAAACAATTGAGTATAATAAGTAAATTAAGTATACTTATTTATAAAACGTTGTTTTTATATATGTTTTTATACATTATTTATTTTATAAATTAAATATTTTAATCAACTATAACTTTATGCAGATAATTTTATATAACACTTGAAATATTATTATTTCATTTGAGCACACATTTAGTATATTATCTTTATCGATAGTTTTTGAAGATTTTATAAAAGTTAAGTAATCATTGACAAATGTTATATATTGTATTATGCATTGTTTAAATTTTCTATTTAGCCTCTTTTACAAGGCATGTAATAAAACATTTTATTTGAAATGATAAAATTCTAGTAAAAGAAATTTTTTTTAATAATATAGTCTTGTCTTTGCAAATAAGAAATTAGTAAAAATGTTAACTCACATAAACATTTATTTCAATCAATTTATCCTCCTTTCGTAACTAACCTAAAAAGTTTTAAAATACCATCTTAATGTGAATATACAGCATATACATACATGCGTGTTAAATTACTCTCAAAAGATCTGAAATCCAATCGTCTTTAACGTTGTCTTTTCAAAGAATTCACATCACGAAGCGAATCTCGGGATGAAGTCGTAACGAGTTCCATTATCGAGGGGCGTCATGAGTCAGTCAGTTTGATTTTTTTCTCTTATTCTCTTTTTCTCTGTTCAGTCTCTCATCTATTGCAAGTATACAAAAAGCATCGAGTCGTCGATTTTTCGTGTGCGTGCATGCGTATGTTTCGTTATCTCGCGGCTCTCTGAATTCCCAGGAGCTTTGCAGCTCATTGTTATGCACCGTTGCGATGTTGCGCTAACGACTTTTCTGCTGACAGTCATAGGCTTAGTTTGACGCTCTTTTCCTTTTTATTTCTTTTTCTTTTCCTTTTTCTATTCCTCCTTCACTATTTCTCTCTCCCTCTCTCTTCATTTCGTACTCTTTTTTCTCTCACTCCCTCTTACAAACTTGAACGAAACAGAGAAATGCCCACATGTTATACGTAAAGTTGTTTTTCCCTTACTTTGTCACATTCCTTCCGCGTCCTCTAAATATCTGTTTTTTGACTTCCATAAAGTTTGTCATGTACTAGAAATTTTATTATAAACATTTCATCGATAATCTGATAACTTTTAAAAGATATTCCTTTTTTAACTATTTACATATAGAATATATTTAACGAAGAGAATTTATCGTAAGTTATATATGTATTACATAGATATTTGAAAATAATATTCTTAATATATTAAAATGTTACTTTCATAGTTAATAATAAAATAAAATACAGATTCTATAAAAAATGAATAATTATTTAGTAATTATTATATTATAATCCAATACATAAATTATTTATATTATTTTTTTATTCATTTTACTCATTGATATACTATCATTTTATATTATTTAACTGGCTATAGTTACATTTAAATACTTTATAATTAAATATCAATTAGCAAATAAAAAAATTCATACATTAAATTATATATTGGTTTTGCAAAGAATACTAATTCTAAAATATTATTATAAATATTTAATGGAATAAACACATATTTTTAAAATAAAGATTATTTCTATTAAAAAATATATAAGAAACACATTATAAAATTTAGAAGTAAATCGATATATATTTTTATTGTATAAATGTATAATTAAAACAAATTTTATTGTTTTAAATTTTTAGATTGTTTCGTATTTTCATTGTACCCGAAATAGCATATTTATAAAATTAGTTAACTTATTATTTAAATTTACATTTGACATTATTATTGTTATGCTTATTAAACTTAACATTATCAAATTTAAACACTTATTGCTTATAAATATAATTCAGTGTTATTTTATATTTATTTTCAATAAAATTAAATAAATGTGAATTACAGATTTTTAAAATGAATTTAGAATAAGAAAATATAAATATACCAATTAAAAAAGGCTCATATAGTTATTAAATTACAACGTGTAGACTAAAATATAAATTTTGTTTTTTATTCTACAATAGTTATTGTAGACTAAAATATAAATTTTATTTATCTTCAAAATGGTGTTGACTTGAAAAAATAATATTACAATTTTATATAAACTATTATTTACAAATTTAAAAATTTAATTATTTTATTAATTTTATTAATTTTCGATATTTGTTATTACCTAAGACTATACTTATATACACCTAAGGAAAGCAATTTCAGTAAAGACTATTAAATTCTTTAATTCTTAAATATACATTATTTATAACTATATAAAAAATCATAATCACGATTAATTATTTAGTTAAGTATGAACATGTTTTAACATGTTTTTATGCAATTTATTTATAATAAATAATTTGCTACGTATTTTCTTGCAGTTTAATACAGTGTTACGGATTATCACGCTGACGCTTGTACAATCGATCGAGGTTTTGATCAGATGAAACCGCATCAGACCCTTCTACTAGTAGAGTGCGAAAGAGACGGCAAAAGAGTCTAAGAGAGAAAAAAAAGAATTCAGAAAGCTCCCTTTCGTATCGGAGGCGGTGGCCCATCGGCAAACACTGGGCAAACCAGGCAAATTGGCAAACAACAGGAGGGAGCGTGTTTAGTCGGCTGGAGCAATTACTGATTTTGCGTGAGCGTATGCCTAGGAGAGCTCGACGCTCGTGACTCGAGATTGTGCACGCGTGTATTTTCCGGGCGCACACGTGTGTCGGAACACAGAGGATTCTCTGGTGACGACTAGCTTAAAAGAAAAGAAAAAGTTCCTACGATTGTGCGGTCTTCTTGTAATTGGAGGGCGATCTTTGAGCGTGCGAACGTGCGCCTGCTGAA